CTTGGCTCACACACAATCTCCCCACCAACTGCTTGCCCAGGACTGATTCTTGGCCACCTGATCTCTGCTCCCCAGTATCCCAGGCCCTGTCTAACCTCCTCATTTTACTCCTACCCCAAGACCAGAGCAGCAACCAGGTCACATGGCTGGGGGGAAAGGCTCACATCCCATGTCTGCCATTATAATCCTCTCTTGGATAGGGTCCGGGTAGGGACACAGGGAGGGTTAGGTGCATGTCCGATGCCATCTTGGGGAGAAATAAGGCTGTGGTCGTCTTCAACTAGAGCTGGCAGCAGCATGACCCATTTGGCTGGCAACTCAGTGGGGGCCTCTCCTTCACCCCCAATTCCGGATACAAAGAATGCCCCAGCCTGGAGGTTGCAACCTCTCAGGATTCCCAGATGGCGTTTACTGTGGGCCGAGGGACAGATTCTTAGGAAGGGGAGATTGACTTCTTCACCCTTTGCTGGGGTCCTGCTTTATAATTTTTTATTAGGCTCAACAAATTACCTAGCTGGCTCTCATTAGAATCTTTCCCCTTAGCCCATCTTCGCTCCCTGTTTTGGGAGACACAAACTTTACCCGTAGGATGACCACTTGTATGACCTAATCTTGAATTGTACCCCACATCTTTAAAACTAAAAAAAAAATAAATAAATTTTAAAATTACCCTTCCCCTCATCTTCCTGGTTTAGAGTCTCTGAGTCATCACTGCCTTCCCTTCCTCCTCATCCAAATCCATACCTGCAGGCCATCTCCCATCTGTCTCCTGCAGCCCATTCCTGCTGTTCTTACTTTAGTTTAGTTGTTCATCCTGGTTCCACTAGACCATCATAATAGCTTTCTAATTATTTTCACAACTTTGAGCCTTTCTCGTACATTCCACTCAGCCACTGCCACCAGATTAACCAAAACACCACTTTGATCATGCCAAGATTTTTTTTAAAGGGCTCCCTGTGGCCTACTGTTAGTGTAGTTCAAACTCTTTAGTCAGGTGTTCAAAGACCTTCCTTCTTCGGCCCTCACCTTACTTTAGCATATTCACTTTGTGACATATGCAATACTTTGACCAAATTCAATACATATTTTGTGCTTGGTCATGGTGTGTCTTTGCTGAAGCCATTTTGCTGTACACCTGGATCACTTCCCCCTACCCTACTATCACCTCCAACTGGGAATTCTAACCCTGTTTAAAGCTTGAATGGCACCTCCTCCAATGAAGTCTCCCGTCATGACCCCAGTCACAAAGTGACTCCACTCTTCTCCAAGACTAATAACATTAGTTTAGACAATTTATTAAGTACAGCTTTGTACTAGTTGTTTTTGTACAGTACGTGGTCCTCAACCATAAGCACTTGGAAAGCAAGAAACATATCCTCCCACCTTTACACAACCATAGGCCCTCTACCTAAAACCTTAGGTAGCCTTAATGGTCTCTCTATGCATGTTTGTTGGAACTAATGAATAAATGAATCCGTTGTGTAAACAGACCAGACCGTCTGAAAGCCTGGCACACCTGCAATGCGTCTGCGTCATTCTCCTCTCAGTTCACCTAACAAAACATCCTGCTGCTTTTCAAACCAAAGCCCATCAAACACCTGTATCATCATTATCAACACCAACAAAAATTTGTCTCACACATTTTATTAATGTTTAAAGTATTATATTCTAAATGCTTAGAATAATCCCAAAGAGAACACCTGTTACTTGAGTGCTCTTATTTTCAACCTCTTGAGGGCAATTTTTTCATTACGATATTAAAGTGGACTGTTTAATAACTTATAACTGTCAAGGGAAAGGGTAAAATGTAGTCACTATGATCCATATTGGAGAACTGAAATGAATGGTTGTTTTTTTATCCCCCACTTGCAATTCTTTATTTTCTCCTAATTTCAAGCCTGTTTTTGAGCACTAACTGAGAAAAGTAATGCAAAATAATGAAATAAATTAAGGGATTTTTGCTGTCAAACTTTTATTCAACTTTAACATTTTACTAAATATTCTAGTCTTTGACTTTTGAATGCCATGTTTATTATCATAATTTCATAAATGTCTTTAATATCTTTCTCTTGCCCATATTACAAACTCCTAAGAGGATTATCAATGTAATTATCAATGATTGAATTTGGAAACTCTGTGTGATATAAATTTCACTTTCTGATGAAAAAAGTACACTAGCTGAATCTGAGCCCAAAAAAAAAAAAAAACACCTGAAAATATAAAAGTTAATAAAGACTCAAGAAGGATGGTTATATTTGAACATGGAAACTTCAAGATGTTCACATGTATGATGAAAAAGTTAAACAATATCATGATAAAAGAACATGCATGTGGAAGATTGTCAGTTTTCATTCAGAGAAATCTGTAACAGTAGGAAATGGAAAGGATGGGAGAAAATGCTAGAATTAGGGAAGAATACAACATTAATACAATCCTATAAAAAAGTTTATATTACATGAGTTACTAAAAGGAACACATGTAGAACATTTGATAGGTTAGGATATAGTCAGATGTTACCAACCACATTTAGAGAAATTTGAAGTAGAGTGTGGAAGGATAGATATTTCTGTTGAGTTATTTCTGATAGATATCTCTTGAATATAAAGCTGTTTCTAAAATATTTAAGGGTGGAACATGGCTCAGGAAAAGATTTGACTGGTCAAAATGTGCTGAGAACACATCTCCAGTCCCAGATAAGGAGAAAAACAATAGAACATGAGGTAAAGAGAAAGCAAAGAAATACTAGCAAACTAGATATCTCCACTGTCATTATAAATTATTACCATCTCCTGAGTCATTGCAATGTGCCAGGAATTGTTTTAGGGGCTTAAATGCAATATCTCATTTTACTTTCACAATTATCTTTAGTAGGTAGATACTATTATTTCCATTTTACATGTGAAGAAATTGAGATTATTTATTCTCATTTTACAGATGAAGAAATTGAGATTAGAAAATTCTCCAAAGGTCACACTTATGGTGACTGTGGTATACCATAATAAAGAAAAAAAACAGTGATTTTTGTCAAAGAAGAGTTGTATTAGTAAAATGAAGAAAAATACACCAAGTTAAAAATGCAGAATGATATTGTAGAAACCAATGGGGAAAGGAAAAAGGTGTTTCTAACCAAGCAGAAATAAAAGCAAGGTAAACCAAGGGTGTAAACTCCTAACCTGTAAAGCATCCTTCCCCTATCTATCATTTTTCAGTCCTCTCAACAACCCAGTTCTTTTTTACAGCCACCACGGGGAAGGAAAGAAAAAAACTTCCCTTTCTCAGTGTTTCCAAATATTAAAAGGCAACTCTGCTTTAGAGCCCACAGGAAGCAGCAACTGGTGAAAACCTGATTTTCTGTGCCTGGGATAACACAGATAGCCACAATTCTAGGCAGAAGGAAGACACGTTAACTCTGAGGAAAACGAGAATTATGCTCTTGGAGAAAGGATAGTCTATGAACAGCATTAAGTAAAAGTGAGGAGCTGAAAGAGGACAGCAAGAAATAAAAACTCTTGAAGTGGGAGAAAAGTCATTTGGGGATGAATAAGAAAAGTAAAGGCAATAATGAGAAAAGACTATAACTGCAAACTATAATGAGCATCATCCAACTAGTAAGGGATTTTTTTTTTTTAAGCCCAGGCATACAATAAGGATGTGGAAATAACTAGAAAGAAAATAATTTGTGATTGTTCACCAATTTTTTACAGAATCTTCAACATATGAATTATTAAATGCTTTTATTTCTTCCCAGGGCCTTCTAGGATTGTAGAGAAATAGACACTTATTGAAACCCATTAATTGGTTGCTCGGCCTATATCTAGTAGTAAAGTCTTTGAGAAGAATGTAATGAAAAACACAACTAATCAATAATAAAAGGTTAATGAAAACAGTATTTTGACAGGCATCCTTTAATATTAGTGTTATATTGACAGACATCTCACAAACATATAAAACTTGGTTTTAGTACAATCTAGTCAATTTTCTCTGTACAACTATCAACTTTTGGATGAAATACAGAAAATTTTACCTTTGTCACTGCTTTTGCTAGTCTCATAATAGCAACCAAACTCTAAGGAAACATATAGCTGGAAGAAGTACTCATCAAATGACTACAAAACTTTCATAATTAAGGATAAGCAACTTTCAATTCTTAAGAACTCTGAACAAGTCTCATAGAAAGTGACATCCAGTTTTATCACATTCAGTGAATACATACTAAAGAAATTAGAATTGACTGGCTTTCAGATCCGGCATCTAATATCAAGTCTAAACCACTGTGAAATTGAAAGGCTTAGAGAAACCAGACGACAGCATGTTGGGTTTCCTTTTCCACTTGAAACTATCATGTTTACCCTGCTGATTGACTTAGGGGCTGCTGAAACATTATCAATTTTTTTGTTTGTTTCACAAAACTAAAATCCTACTTGCTGAGTCCTGTCGAAAGCTGACTACAGATAGTACTGCATTCAAACCTGAAGATAACTAGCCCTTCTATTTGTCCAATCTCTCTAACCTCAACAACAGAAACAGTTAAAATAGATGCAGGTACAAATGATCAGAGGTCCATTCTTCCCCTGGCATTCTTCTTCTCTTCCTCTCTTTTCCCACCTTAAAAGTCATGCAACTGTAAGTTAGAGAAGAAGATAGGGAGGTAATTAAGCACTCTGTTCCCTTTCCAACACTGAATTAGAGAAATGCATTATGTCCTGAAAGACATCAGAAACAACAAATTGCTCATTTTCTTCAGACTAATACCAGAATTCTGGAGTGCACATCTTTTACTGGCAATTCACAAATGCATACTAAATCCATACATTGACATTCTTAAAGACAAACTGTCTTGATGGAGAAACACGTGGTTTTTACTGTGTGACATATGAGTATCCCACAAGTCAGTGGGTGTTAAGAAAAGACCATTACATCAAAGATGCTGTAGTAACATTCTAACTAGTCTAAACTTGGGAATTTAAATAGTAAAACTTGCATCGTAAAGAGCCTAAATTGATGTGTTCCCGGACGCCAAAGAGTAACCTAAGGCTTGGTTCCTAAGCAAGTGAGGCTCTGGGAGGAGAGGACAACACAAAGTCCTACCTGGTAGGCATCAGGAATGTTGACCGTCTCTCCATGCTCTCCGACATAGCCAATGATGCCTTTGCCCCAGGGGACCTGCACCTCATTTGAGTTCTCTGTGCTGCTGCAAGGCAGCAGTGGAGTTCCTGCATGCACATCAAAGAATTTGGAGACCAAGCTCTTCTTGCCAGCAGCTGCCCCTTCCACCAGGAAGAGAGAGCAGCGGTCAGCGTCCACCATGAGGCAGACAAAGATAAGGATCTTGTAGCTTAGGCTGGTAAGGTCAAGGTCATTGGAGATATCCTTGACCAATTCCAGGAAGAACTGTCGCTCATTATGCTTTTTCAAGTGGCACTTGTAGTCGATGGCTGTAGGGGGATACTGAGGCAGATTGACCCTTGATTCCAGCAGCGCACTGAGAATGTGGGCTGTGGTGGGGGGCAGGGAGCTGGCCTTCCGGAGAAGTGCCCTCCGTCGTACACTGCTCAGGGGCTCCTGGGCCCGGGAGGTCACCTGTTCATCGTAGGTCCTGTTCACGTGGATGGCCTTGGAGCGGGCAAAACTCTTCCTTAGCTCTTTTTGAGAAGCTCGCCGCTGCAGGTTGCCATCACCCCGGCCGCCACTGGCCCAGCTGGGACTCAGGGGAACCCCACCACAGTCCCCGCCACTAGGAATGGGCTGACTGTGAGCAGAGCCATTTGGTCCAGTGCCACCACCAACGCTGCTGCCACCTCTGCCGGCGCCATGAGCCAAGCTGCTGGCGCTTGTCGAAGCGGGCCTTGGACCTACAGCCCCCTGACCCTGCCTGTGCCTCTGCAGCCACTTCTCCACCATCTCCTGCTTCCCCTTCCGCATCAAGTAATCCTCAAACAACTCTGGGTGCCTGTCCAGAAAAGTTTCCACCTCCCCAAAGTCCAGGCGGGAGGCTGTCATGGTCCCAGACACAGCTTTCCTCTGTCCCTCTCCACTCCAGATGTTCACCTGCCAGAGGCCTCTAGCTGTTGCTGCACATGGCTACCCCCACCAGGAGTCCCAGCACGGCGCCACCTCCCCTGCCAGCCGGAGAATAGTCCCAGCAGTAGAATCCGGCTGGGAGGTGCCCCTTCCTTCTCTGCCCGGCACCACCCCACCCCTGTCCTGCCACTCCTGCTCCGCACAGGTGCCTGGCTCTGAGCCGCTGCTGCTTCTCAGCTCCTGTTCTGGAAGCCCGGGGCTGTCGCTGCTCTTGCTCTAGCTGCTGCCGCCGCTGCCGCCACTGCTGCTGTAACCGGATGAGTGGACCACTGAGACAGGGAGGTAGGGCAGGACACGCCCCCGAGTGAGGCACCGAGCCGGAGGGAGGCGGGAGGGGGAGGAGTGAGCCGCGGACGCCAGACCAGCCAAAGTCCACCGCCCGGGATGCCAGGCGGTTCCTGGAAGAGTCTCCAGACCGCCGGAATCGGCGCCTGGGAACACGGCCGACTCCTGATTGGAATAGGACTGAAGGGGGAGCGCACCTGGTTCCTGCCTCCCTTCTTCCTTCCTTACTTCCCCAGCCCTCCCTCTTCCCCGCCTCTCAATCCCAAGCGTTTCGAGGCGGCCCCGCGGGAGCCCAGTGGGAGTCCTCGTAAGAAGAGTTGACGTTTAGCAGGGATCCGAACCCAGAGGCGCATTCCGAGGAAATGAGGATGCTCAGACAGGCAGGGGTATTTTTCTGGGATGTGACTGTGGGTTGTTGGTTCCCAGGATTCCTGGGACTGCTCAGCAACACTGCCCAGCTCCTTGTGGCTGTTCGGTAAATATTAATGGAACTGAATTTCTCTGGAATTAGCAAATGCAGTTCCCTATGTGAGTCAGTCATGACAACCAAATTCATGGACCTGGGGCGGCGGTTGGTGACTGGCAAGAAGGGTGTAAAACACTATAGTCAGCTCTCAGTATCTGTAAGAAGAGCAGACCAAGCAGAGAATGTAAGTGTTAAAGTTTTGTGATGTAATTGGAATGTTTAAGAAGCAACAGGGAGACCAGCTAGGAGATAATAAACCAAACATAGGATACTGGTAGTTTGGAGCTGCTGGCTGCCAAGAAGGTGAGTGGTGATCAAGAATTAGAGAAAGAAAAAGAATGCTTATCACAGTGTCTAGCACACAGAAAGTGCTCAATAATTGTTAGCTGTTGTATTTTATTATTATTATTATCCTAAAGTAATATGAAAACTTCACTGCACATGACCATGTCTCTGTTCACTTGAGTGATCTATCAATAAAGATGACTAGTGATATGCAGAAACTGACTCGTAAGGACTCAGCAGAGCCTATTTTAGCATCTCTTTCCAACTCTGTGTTCTGTCACATCACATAGCTTGCAATAACCATGATGGGAATGTTTACACTATAGAAATCAGAACGTGTTACCAGTAAGAGTTTTTTTTAATAGATTGCTAATTGTTAAACACTTACCAATATACAGTGAAAACAATCCAAATGTCCATTGATTGATAAGTAAAGTGTGATATATCCAAACAATGGAATGTTATTTGGTCATAAAATGGAATGAAGTACTAATACATGATACTACTTAAGTGAACCTTAAAAACTTGCAAAGTGAACGAAGCTACTCAAAGGACCACATATTGTAAAACTTCATTTATATGAAAGGTCCAGAATAGGCATATCCATAGACAGAAAGTAGATTACTTGCTAGAGGGAAAGGAAGGAGGCGACTGCTAATGCGTATTAGGTTTTTTGAGGGTCAGGAGGTAATAAAAATACATTAAAATTGATTGTGAGATAGCTGTACAATCTGTGAATATGCTAAAATTCATTGAATTGTACACCTTAAATTGGTGAATTGAATGGTGTGTGAATTATTTCTCAATAAAGCTGTTACAAAACTGCAACCATTTACTACCATGTGTCTGATCATAGTACAGCAGCAGTATTGTGCATAAAGACAAGACAGCACAGAGTAGAAATCTGATAGAAAGGAGGCAGTGAACTGCTCCCCTAACCTTAGGGAAAGGAAAGAATAGTACAACCCAGGGCTGCCTAGAAACGGAAGGCTCGTAAAGACATTTCCATAATTCCATCTTCCATGCATTTATTATATGAGTAGTTATTTAACATGTATTATGTTTCGGGTTCTGGGGACAAAAAGATCTGAAAAAACTTCTGCTTTTGATTGAAGATCTCAATCTACAGCACCAAGAGAAGTGAGACTAGATAACAAAACTGGGAAGGATGGGGTAAAGCAACAGTAGAGTGCGCCAGGAAAATGAATCAACATTTCTGGTTTGGTTTTGAATTGGCAGTAGCCATGTTCCCTGCTGGGTACATGAAGTCACTAAAGGAATTAATGGTTGAAAAAGAAAGTGAGAAGGTGACAGAACACACACAAGAGAGTACTGAAGGCTATGATGGAGGCTGATAATAAGATGTGTGTTGATGTAGCCCCAATCGCCATTTCCTCTTCACCCTCAATCTGTAGAATGGTGTGTATATTAGCCATAGTTCCAACAGAAAACTGAGTACACTCAAATTAAATTCCAAGAGGGTTAATTTACAAAGGGACTAATTACAGGGGTGACGTTTAGAACCTGGGACTTGCAGCAGCAGAAAAGTCATCACTTCTAAACCTAAGGAGAAGACGAAGAAAAAGGGTACTAGGACTCAGAAGAAGAGAGGGTTGAGAGGTGACTACTGTCTCCAAGCAAGCAGTAACAGCCTGTCAAAAGACATCAACGGCTTAAGTTGACCTCAAAGGAGGAATATCAGAAATAAATGCCTTGAACTCATTCTTTTCCCTCCCTCCTTTCAGTGACCAGACCTAACCAGAAGCTAGAATTGGAGCCTGTGGATGAAATCTATTTAAGTCGTCCACTCTGAGTGTTAGAGGGGAGGGGAGGAGACAAAGGAGGACCTGTGTAAGATCAGGAGGGGTGAATGGAAGATACTTGGCCCAGTATGGAACTTTGAAGAGGTCCCTTTAGGAAACGAAATGAAATCATACTTCCCCTTAGGAAATATAGCTCCAGAGAATTTCTGTGTAATTCTGCCCTCTTCTGCTCATCTGCTAATTCCATCACAACTGTCTATAATACACTCTACGGCAACATTTGCAGAGGATAGAACCCCCTCAGACACAAACTATCGTACTTGTAAAGGTAAGATACTGTGAAGACTGTACAGTCAAGAGAATACCTGAAAAGGGCATTCTATCATTCCTGAAAAGGTATATTACTATGAAGACAGATCAGTCAGCTCAAGGAAGAGGCTCTGCAGATTCTCTCCTCATCTACCCCTCCCTCTCTCCCCCAAGCTGTAAACATTGTCCAAATAGCCTCTACTGAAGAAGATAAAGAGGTCTTCCTATTTGTATTTTTTTTCTTTTGAAAAGGTTTTATTTGTTTACTTTTATATTTTTTTAATTGACAAATAATAATTGTACATATTCATGGAGTACATGGTGATGTTTGATATATAAAATGTATGGCGATCAGAACAGAGTAATTAGCATATCATCACCTCAAACATCTATCATTTCTTTGTGTTGATGAGAACATTCTATATCCTCCTTCTAGCTATATGAAACTACCATTGTTAATTATGGTCCTACTATCGTGGCATAGAACACTAGAATGTATTCTTCCAATCTAGCTGCAATTTCATATCCTTTAACAAATCTCTCCTTACCCCTCCCTTCCTCCTATTCTTCTCAGCCTCTAGTATCCTGTTCTTTTTCAAGTCTATGAGATCGACGTTTTTAGCTTCCATATATGAGAACATGAGGTTTTTTAACTTTCTGTTTCTGATTTATTTCACTTAACAGAATGTCTTCCAATTCCATTCATGTTGCTGCAAATGACAGGATTTCATTCTTTTTTAATGACTGAATAGTATTTCACTGTGTATACATACCACATTTTCTTTATCCATTCAGCTAAGTTGATTCCATATCTTGGTTATTGTGAATAGTACTGC